CCGAGAATTTTTGTTTTCAAATTACAAAATTTCTTGAAATACAGGATTAGGTATCTGCTTGCTTGGAGAAGCTGCATAAAAAATTGCCAGTTCAGAACGATTAAAGGAGATTAATGGTCCAGATATCAAAATATTGCGCCTCAAATAATTTTCTAGTGAATGGTTGGTCTTGATGAATTGCATGCTAAGTTATTTACGTTACTGAGAGTATGTATATTCATTCTTATAGGTATTGGTACACTCTGATTTTGAGACTCCCAAACATGTATTAAAAAAGACTATAACGCTTGAGATTTTAGAAAATTGCGTAATTATATATTCTAAAATAGGGTTTGATGTAACAATTATGAATATTAATGGTAAAGATTCCAGATTACAAGAGCATTACCTTCAAGATTAATTTGGACTAATGGCTAAATAGGTTGGAGAAGACGTAAAATTAATTGCATAGAACTAATAAAAAAAAAAGACATCTTCAAGAAAGGAAGTTGATGATACCAACAAAAGAATAATTCAACTAGAAACAAAATTTTTTTTGGAACACAAAAGAAAGGAATTTTTAAAAAGATCCACCAGAACATTTGCATAGTGCTAAATCAACAAATGGAAAGAAAAGGGACAGGCATATGTCTAGAAATGCCAAAGTTCAACAAGTCAATGTATCATTCTTCAAGAAGACAAACTTTTATGACCATACCTATATATGGAGGAAAGGGCAAACTTGTGTAAAATTTAGTCAATTATGTTTGGGGTTTTTTGGTGGAAGATGCACGTTTTTGTAGCAAACATAGAAACACTGGCAGATGAATCTGTCGTGGTCTTTACATTTTCCCCATCCTTTAGGGTGCAATCTTGCGCAGAACTGGTCACAATGCGGTTGCTTGCAGGCAAATGGTGGCCTAGACAGCATTTCCTCCTTGCACACTAGGGCCAATCTGCAACTTCTACCTGTGTGATCATGGCAAATCGCATCATAATGTGCATACAGAAATAGAATAATATAATTAGAATGTTATTATGTGTCTTTTTTATGTCTTAAATCTCATTGTTTAGTTTTTCTAAAAAGAAAATTGAATCTACCTGTATAGAGTGACATGAAAAGAATGGCCATAACAAGTACAATTCTAGCAGACTTCATCTTCAATGAGAGAAACTTTGATGGTTGGGAATGAAGGACAAAATAGAGATAGACAGTCTAGTGTATCAATTGGACAAGATACTGTACACTTTTTGTGTTGTAGGTTCTTGAAAACTTACTCTTCATTAATTAGAAGGCTATATATAAGGGAACATTTGGTACCTTAGAAAAATGCACCATGGTTCATAACCAAGATGAACCTGACATTAAGAATTAATAATTCAGTAATGTGGACGCATTCAATTTCAGTAATTGTTGCCTAAGGTGTGTAACGGAGAAATAAAACAGCCCACATGAGAGTTGGTAGACAATTGTGCGAGAATGCAATGAAATTTCTGGTCTTCTTTTCAATGTATCATTTTCGTTTGGGCAAATTACACTTCATTCCCCTGTGGTTTAGTGTTTTTTCACAGAACCCCCATATGGTTTCAAAAACTATACACAACCCCCTCATGGTTTGAATTAAAGTGCCAAAGTGACGGAAATGGTCATTCGTAACGGAACTTTTAAAATGTCGAAATTACTCTTATAAATACATGACATACTAACCTCGTATGATTTTATATTTTACCTTATAACCCTTTTATGGTTTAATGCTTTATCACATAACCCCCTTATGATTTTCAAAATATACACATAACCCCCATTAGTTAATAAATATTTTTTAACTTTACATAAAGGTATTTTGATATTTTAGGTGACTCCGTTGCGAATGATTATTTCTGTCACTTTGACACTTTAATTCAAATCATAAGGAGGTTATGTATAACTTTTGAAATCATAAAGGGTTACGTAAAAAATACTAAACCACAGGGGAGTAAAGTTTAATTTGCCATTTTGTTTTGGTATAAATATATAGCCCCACTTATTGTGTGCTGCTAATTTCAAATATTCTCTTCTGAGTTCTAATTCTCAATATCTAAGTCTGCCATTACTCATGTCCCACACTCGAAATATATCATGCACGCCCATAATCTTTTGATATTTTCATTAAGGAAAAAAAAAAAATTCCAGATGCTGTAGAATTGAAGGTTACAGACGACTCTCAGCCACTAATTTTCCTGTTATCCATCCTATCGCCTTGTCTCTATGTTCTGAGTTTTTCTATCCCCTGTTTTATGTACAATTTTATAAATCTTAAGTAATACAAATTAAGAATTAAAAGAGTGTTAATATATATTGGTAACTTTCAGAGTTACTGTGTATATGATATAATTAGAATCCTTTTAGTGACACTATTGAATTCCACAGTTAACAAAATAAAAGTTGCTTGAGCGAGTAGTGGCTTTCATCACACATCAGTTACAAGTCAAAAAAGGAAATTAATGGGAACAGTTAAACTCATTTCCTATGGACAACTACTACCAAATAAAATAATAATAACTTGTTGCTATCTAAAATAATTAAAGATGCATTGATTTGCTATAGAAAAGTAGACTCTTCAATATTATCTTTTTTTGGACCATTTAGTTTTCCTTTTTCCCTTTTTTTTAAAATTTTTTTTTTTTGATTAGGCCATTGGTTTCATTTGCTTGTGTTTGTTAAGATTTACATATCCCATTATCATTCTCGAAACTTTATGGACAAAGAAAAGAACAAATATTGGTCAATTAATACAATCCCGGCCACAATTCATGATCTCATCCATTGGTATATATATCCTTATTGATTTTCTTGGAGTTACAGTTTATTCCAAATTATTTATGTTTAAGATAAATTTAGTATCAGGAACAAAACATTGAACATAATTTTTTTTTTAATTTTTACACAAAAATCGTATGAGAAAATTGAAGTAAAGATACTAGTAGCAAGCAGGAAAAAAAACTGCCATAGTCATTGCTGGCATGGGCACTATCTTCTTAGTGCTCCTAATGTTGCTAGGAATTGCACTCCAAATAAAATTGATAACAATAGAGCAAAAATCCACAATACATGCTAGACAGAATGGATATTACAGTTATGCACTTTCAGGCATTATATGCTGAGTGGATAGCTAGGAACAACCCTCAGATGTCTAGCCCTGGTAACTACAAGCTATGTTTTCAGACTCGGCCCGGGAATCGACTCGGCCGAGCTTAAGGGTCCAGGGGTCAATGGGTTCGATCGGGGTCAATAGGGGTCGAACCGAATGACGTCATATATAGATTATATATATATATATATATATTCCTGCAAATCAAATTTATAAAATATAACCAAAGAATCCAATCATCTAAATTTATATCCAATTCACCAAATTCATCCAAACTTACAAAATTTATAAAATAGAAATCCCATACATGTTTAATCCCTGACAAATAGCAATCCAAATAAGGTAACAAGCTCATGTTCAAATGCTTGATAAATATCAATCTAAATAAAACAACACGTTCAATTTCTAAACCAAAGAACTATCTAAGCCATTCTTTATCTTCATCTTCATCTTCATCACCCTTTTCTCCAATTTCATAACTTTCGATATCGATGTCATCAAGATCATCCTCATCATCAAGCTGCACATTAAAAACTACAGAAGACTGAAGAGACATTGAGGTAGGAAATTACACTAAAGACTACTGCTTTATTGGACCACAGGACATTAAAAACTGCATTAAATGGTTGTAGCATATTATTCTACCATTTATGTCCATGGTACTAGTACGGCTGATAATTGTATCCATCAGCCTTTGAGGTAGGAAACACATAAGTTGGTCAACAAAACTACAGAAGAGACTCATTCATGTAACAGACATTATTAACTTTTGATCCAGTGTATTCTCAAAACGAAAAGATAACTATTCGCTTGGACTGTGTGATCATTATCAACTTAAAAATTCTTGATCCAGTGTATCCAACCAGTTTGCACTGGTACTGATGCTATACCAGAGAAACGTGAAGGGACATATAAGCATGGTTGTGCGAATTATAACCAGTAAATGGTTAACCCAGATGGAACAGACAAAGAAAAGTAACCAATCATCAATGGAAGAAACTTGAAAACAAGAAGAGACAATCAAATTCAAATTTTCAGATTCTCTAATAAGGACGTGATATTCTCACCCATAATATCCAAATCCCAAATGCCCAGCATAATAAATAAAAAAAATACTGAAATTTTAGTCACAGATCAACTTCAACATAATGAATTAGCCATCTTCACGACTGGTTTAGATTATAAAAATTACCAGATTTAGCTTCGGTTCACCAGCGTGTTAATTACTTGATTGAACCTTGAAATCTGAAGAAACTGGTGGTGTTGCGGCAGTGGAGGCTAGAGATTGAAGGACAAGTGACTAACGGCAACCTTGATTAAGCGACGATCGGTGAATCTCAAATGCCAGCGGTGGAGGCTTTTAGATTTTAGGGTTATTGGAGCTGAAGAAAAAAGGAAGAAAAGTACGGAAAGAGAAGCAGGGGAGCTGACCCCAAGTTTTGATAATTTCGTCTCTTTTTTAGTTGGTCAGTCCAACTTTTGACTGAAAAAAAAAGGCAGAAAGGGCAAAAAAAAAAACCGGGTTTGATCAAATTATCCGGTTCACCGGTCAAACCCGGTTGATCAAATGACCGGGTTTGACCGAGTTTTTAATATCCGAGTTTTTTAACTAGCTGGACCGGATGCCTGGCCGGTTCCCGGTTCGACCGGCCGGTCCGGTCCGAGTCTGAAAACACAGACTACAAGTTGGAAATCATGTACCTTGATAGCTATATTGCTCCCCAAAAATCTCTCTGGAGTAATAATCCATGACAATGTTCTGTGATTGACAACGTTTTGTGATGGAAATCTCCGTGAAAGATATGGTATTAAGATAACTTGCTAGCATTTAACAAAACCTTAATACATCCGAAGAACAGATACCATACATTTCAAGAACTGCTAACTTAATCATTTGCTCAATCGATAGGTTGGAACAGCCATCAGATGGTTGGCCCTGGTCATTACAAGTCCAAATTCCTCAGTCATGTTCAGCTCTGAAGTCAGCATTCCATTTGGAAGTTCCCAATTGAAACAATGCACCAATTGTGCCACCAGAAGACGAACTACAGTGAGCCCCAATTGTGAGGACCCGCAAATTTCTTATATTTTTCTCAAAAAAAAATGCCTTTTATTAGAAAATTATTATCTATTAAAGCCCTGCTACCCAATTGTTCAACAATAAGTACAGATGAACCTAAAAAGTAGGGTTTCACTCTTCGTTTCCAAGATTAGGGCAAATTAGGGTTTTCGCGATTTTTTTCGCCGGATGAATTTTCGGTATGGAGCAAGGATCAAATTTGGTGATTAAAAATGACTTTTAAGTGAGAAATAATATGTGATTAGGAGAAATGAGATAAGGTTGGTGAATAGGAAGTAAAAATCCTAGTACGTGTGTTGAACGCACCACTTGACCACCACTTTCTTACCATACAAGCCCATTAATACTTGAGCAAAATATCTTCCATTTGCCAGCTATCTTGACCGAAATTTAGGGCTCAAAATAGCAAGAAAAAGAAAGAGAAAAATGAGAGGAGGTGGTGGCGCCAAGTGTCGCTACCTAAGGGTTTCTTGACCAAGACATCAGTCTTCCTTCTTATCCCCCAAATTGTACCTTTTCTCTTCATTTTTCTGCTGAAGAGTCGACCAAAGAGAGAGAGAAAGTGAGAGCAATAAAACAATTTCTTTCTTCTTGAATCTTAGCCAAACCAAGTGAGAAAATCGATTCCAAACCGATTAAAGTGCTAATTGTGAGTAGGGGAAGCTAGAGGAACCAGAAATTTTCAAAGGAGGTGGATTATCACTCATCCAAGCTTGTCTTTGAGGTATTAAATCTGATCATGGTCCTTGATCTTTTAAATCTTGTGTAAATTAGCTTAGCAACTCAAGTTTGTGCTGAATAACGGTTGTTAGCATGTTTTGGGGGTTGTTTTCTTTGTGGACACATGAGTTAGGATTTGAGGAATTGCTGCCAAATTGGAGGTATGATTAATATATGTTGTATATAAGATTATATAAGGGGCTTTGGTAGTGATTGGAATAAGAAATTTGAGAAAGTTTCATTGAAGATCAACAAATTCCAGATTTCTGGAAAATTTCCCCCCTTTCTGCCCATTTTTGTTGCTCCATGTTAGAGGCCGAATTGGCCTTAGGTCTAAACATGTAAGTTGTAGGGAATGGTATTTTATAGCTTTCTACAAAATTTCAGCTCAATCGGAGCAACGTAGCTTGTGAAAAGACGAAAATTCCCTCGCTGATCTAGGTCACTTTCCAGAGTTTCGCGTGGACAGTTCAGTCCTTTTGATTGAATTTATTCACTATAATCCGTTCGGATTTAGTCATTTGTTAAAACATGAAAGTTTTAGTGCCCTGTCTTAGCTTTGTAGATATGGTCAAAGTTTTAGTGCCAAGAACGTCTTAAACGGACCTCGGTAGATGGAGATATGGTCGTTTGAGTACAGTGCGGTTGATTAGCCGAATAGTTGAAACCAGGTTACGTGAGTTGGGAATTTGATCAGGTTACATTGAAAATTTGATGGAGTGCTCTTCATGAAAGTTGTAGGCCTTCATCTTAGCTTCGAAATGTTATAAGCTGCGTATCAATCCGATAAACGTAGCCTCGGATGTGTTATTTTCGCAAAACCCGTCAAAACTGTCTTTTGATAAGTTTCATTTCCGCACTTGATATTAGCTTAATCTTTGCTCTTGTGTTGTTGTGAGCCTATGGAATGGCTATTGAACTGAATTTGTGTTCTGGACTTGTTTTGTGTACAATGTTGGGTTGGATTGAGTAAGAATGAAGCCATAAATGGCTGGAAATTAGGTAAACACAAAGGGCATGCTGCCCAAATTTACGCTCGAGGGCTATAGAAATACACTTGCGACTTGGGTCAAGTTAAGATGAATAGTACTTGAGCCACCTAGGACTTTGGCTATCTTGGTTTGAGGGTTATACGTTAAAACCTAGCCGAACTTGTACCCTTGAGGAAAAGACATAATGGCCAATATAAACTTGTATTTTCTTGTACTTTCAACTCAAGTGTTGTTTCCAAGTATATATGCTACAAAACCTTACGATTTGAAAAGCGAGCAAGTGTTTCACGAATGTCTTCTAAATAAATTTCAATTGGTCGATTCTTAATGAACGGACGTTTAAGTTTCGAATCCTACTCGTGTTTCAAAATTCTCAAATTGACTTTTTATCGCAGATCTGGACTCCAAGCCTGGAGTATAATTGAACGTGAATACTTGAAGCACTATATTTTGGTGAGTGCTTCCAAATATCCGATTGTACTTGGTACATGTGTTTCTTACTTGACTTATATGATTACATGATGAATGAATGATAGGGCAAGGGTGTATTTTACCACACTTGCCATAATATGACTTGTTCTTGCTATTGATTACACTTGACTTGCTCTACATGTACTTGAGATATGTCTTGCCCGAAATTCCAGAAACCCTGTGACTAGTTAATCGAGTCGAGCCGGCAAGGGTCTGGTCGATTAGATAACAAACCCTGGATCACTTGTAATGTCGAGTGGAGTGTTATCTCCTCGACTAAACGGTATACTCGAGTATTACCTCCCGTGTTTCGTGTGGCGTGCGGGTTCGGAAAAGGGTGTTGATTGGTGGACGGAGATTGGCGTGTAGTGGAGTTTTATTTTGGACTTGTTATGACTTGAAAGTTGGCGGAGTGTCAACTACCACTTGACCAAGCTGGAATGGAGCCGTGATATGGGTTACTGTATCCTTACATGTGAATGTGAACCTGATATTACTTGGTTATCTGAAGTACTATTTTCCTGATTGGATTTGTTTGCTCGCTATTTCACTATTACTTTGTTATCACTTGATTTGTTGACCAATTTGATATTTGGAAACTTCACTGAGATTTGGCTCACCCCGTTAGTTTGTTTTCCTTACAGGGGTACGAGCGAAGCGTGAGACGTGTAAAGGCTAGCGTAGTCTAGTTGCTCTTGATTTTGTTTTGAATTTTGACTTGTACTCGCGCTATTTCTCGAATGGATTGTTTTGTACTTGGATTGTATACGCTTTGAACTAGTTTGAGTATATCGAGACTTTGTACCCTGTTTCCTATCCATGTATATTATAAGCTTGAATCGTGGATGTTATTTATGGTTCATGGATGCGTATGTACGTGATTCGCGTGAGCTTGTGAGTGAGTCCTGGCGAGAGTTGGGCAGGAGGTCCGCCGAACCCTTTGGTACGCCTTAGGGGGAGGTGGGGTCGTCACACCAATTGCACTCCAGGGCAGCCTCTTCTACCTGAGCCAAAGGGAAGAAGCTGGAAATCATGCCCCTTGACATCTATATTGCTTCCTATAAATCTCTCTGGAATAAACTTCTCGGGGTCAGACCATGCATTTGGATCTCTCCCAATTGTCCAAACATTGATAATCACTCGTGAATTCTTTGGTATATGAAAGCCATCGACACTGCAATCTTCCATTGCTGCATGAGGGACAAGCAATGGTGCCACGGGATGAAGCCTCAGTGCTTCCTTTACAACCATATTCAAGTAATTCAGGTATTCTAAGTCTGATTCCTCAACCATCCTGTCAAGTCCTACGACTTCCTCCAATTCTTGCTGGACCTTTTTCAGTACTCGCTGGCTTTTCTGGAGCACTGCCAGTGTCCATTCAACAACTGTAGCTGAAGTATCCAATGCTCCTGCAAGCATGTCCTGAAAAGAACTTGATTTTGCTTCTTAGTTATTCAGCAGGTTGAATAAGATAAGGCGCTATAAGAAAAGTAAAAACAATAATGACTATCAAGTAAACATGGGACTTGAAAAACTAGTTCAATGTGGCCTACAAATAAAGAAAAGCTGATGAAGAACGGAATTAATCAGGCTCAAGTATATCCTATCCATCCCATATAAAAAGAGGTGATTCTATTCCGAGCTCAAACACAAAAAGGCATTCGAATTTACTTCACAAAAGACTGACAACCTTAATTAGACAGCAATGGCTAGTTTAGCGAAACTTCAAATTCTAAATGTAACATTTATTCAAGAGAGAGTATTTCAATATGCACAAAAATGTTGAACCCATATATCTTACATGCACCATATGACTTACCATCAGAATAGCTTTGATGTGGCGGCGATCAAATTGAAACTCAGTTTCTCCAGATTTCATGAGGGCCAACATATGGACAAAGTCATCTGCTGGCCTATCTTGCTTGGCAGATTTTTCATGCTCATCAATAATCTTCTCCAAAAATTCATCAAAAATTTTGCTAGTAGCTTTCATTCTCCTGGTCAATCCTTGAAGGTGAAGTTTTGCAAGACAAGGATAGTAATCGCCAAGATTAGGAGTCGCAGCTAGTTGCCCTCCCTCGTAAATATGGTTCGAAGACTCGGCCGAGACGATACCGCGACTGAAACGTTCCGAGATACATGACAGACCGAGATGTCACCATGAACGGTTGAAACGGCCGAGTCACTCCGAATCATCCCGAGTCAACTTGAATTTTTATTAATTTTACTAATTTTTAATTATTTTTATTTATCATATTTTTTACAATTTTTAGAATATTAAATATTTTAAAATTTTGTGTCTCACCGAGATCGCGATCGATATGCCGAAACCGATGTGGAACGTTCTGGGCCGCGACCATGACCGCGACCGCGACTTTGAACCATGCTCGTGAATTACAACTTTGAAGACTCTCTCGTCAAATTCCGTGTCTGCATACTTCTTTCCAAAAACCATCAGGCAACTCATGTCTGCGTTTAAGGATGAAATCCCAGCACTGAGATCAACAACATCACAATTTAGAGCAGCCCGTTTGAGCGTTTCCACAAATAGTCTGATCTCCTCTCTCCGCATAGATTCAAATGACCTTATCTTAAGGTTACTAAGCAAATTTAAGGTGCAAAACTTGCGGACATCTCGCCAATACGAACCATATTCAGCAAAGGACAAGTTTCTTTGCCCGAAACTCAAATATTTAGCTGCCTCGAGAGGTGGCCTACTGGCAAAAACCAGATCATGTGTCTTGAGGAATTGCTCAGCTGCACGAGGGGAAGAAACAATGATGTTTGACACGAACCCAAATCGTAAATGCATGATTGGACCATGCTGCTTGGACAGCTTATGCAAATCTTGGTAAGCATTCTTTCCCAAAAGATGGAGATGTCCCAGAAGAGGGAGCCCTCTTGGACCCGGGGGCAATTTCTTGTTCTTGTTCTTGATTAATAAGGCATTTAGGAAGAAAACAAGTGTAAATCCTCCTAGTAATGCTGTCCACAACCAAGCTACGGACATCATGATTTACTATACAAGGTCTGCTGGCGGTGTTTGGAAAGTGATTATTGCTATTTCAATTTACTGATTGGAGTGTTATCTTTTTCATCTTAAACATGCATTTATACTTGATTGGTTGACTAGAAGTTCTGACATAGCAAGCTAAATGGAATTGAAAGGGGACTAGTTAAAAGATTTGCCAGATTCGGAATTTGGATTATGCACAAACTGTATCTTGGGAAGAATGAAAGTTAAGATTATCTAGAACGTTTTAGCATCCAATGCCTGCTAAGGATGCTTTTTTTTTCTCCTCAAGAACACATGGACATAGTTACAATCAAAACTTTTGTTTTAGCCACAAACAATAAACCTTTAATCATCAGAGTCTTATCAATACAGAGTACAAGGAAAAACAAAAGGTAAATGGAATAGTGTTACTCAAAAACTCATCCTTTTCATCATAAATAATATCTAATTGGACGGAACTACTAACATTAAATCCAAACACGAAGCTCCAACTTAGCGGGATCATCAGCATAGGTATACGGGGCCTACCTGCTATTTTCAAATTTTTACCAATTTTTAAGTCATTTTGGATTCTAGTTTATGTATACATCTTAGTTTAGTTTAGCTAGAAAGGCTCGTTCACATTGCACAGTCTTGCATCAATAGGCAATCTGCAAAAATCTGCATCAGTCGCTGAAAAATACAATAGTTGCCTGATTAGCTTTACAATAGGCAAAGAAGAAAAGCTCTAATTTATCACCCCAAAAGTGGAGAATCTGGAGAATCTCCTCATCCCCCTAAATAAAAATTAAAAACTGATGAACAAAACTTAGGATAATTAATTGAGCTATATGATGGGAGGCCTAAATTCATTAGAAGTTGTTTAGTTTGTGTCATCATATGCAGTACCGAAAAAAAAAATTGTACCATTGTTTTTTGCTCTGAAAGAAGGTTTAGTTTAATACAAGTAATAGTGCAGAGCCCAATATAATATGTCCTTGTCCAGGCAAAGTAAGTTCAAACACGCAGAGTGAGCAAAAGGGAGCCTTTCTATGCTATTTGTCTCTGTGTCTGTCTATCTCTCTCTTTCAAGCTTCAACAGCACAGACACTCCGAAATAGATCCAAGGCCTCTTAATTGGAGTTCCATCCAATTGTGTAAACTGCCATAATTTTGATATGAATTAATATATTTTTGATGTAATCATAAATTTACACCAACTCAATTATATTTTGCATCTATATTAAAATTGTATCAATTTATACTAAAATTTATAGCTAGCAAGCCATCCAAAAAGTAATGTTGATTTTTTGGGGCATGAACTAAGAAACAACACCTTAGTGTTGCAAAAAAAAGCTTATAAGAGACTTGTATTGAATGTGGAAAATGAGCTTGTGTTCTACATTCATCAACTCACTATTTATAGTGATTACATAAAACAAACTAGCAAAATATCCAGCTAACAATTATCCTAAAAATCTCAACAAAATATAATCTTCTACTACTAGCAAATCTTAGCTAATATATTTGTTAACAAACCAACATGATCTTTGGTTAACAAATATCCTTATTTTCTAATAACTAAATTATTTTGATATCAAACCCAATCTGATAAAATCTGTAGGAAAAGTTGGCATATCTCAACACTCCTCCTTGCCACTTTTGCTGCAGAGTTTCAATTGTCTTTTCAAATCTTTGAACCTTGTTTTGGATAAGACTTTCATAAAAATGTCTGCAATCTGGTCATCAATCTTGCAATGTTTCTTGAGCCAAACTTCAACATCAATACCAAATTTTCAGATGTATTCAAATAACTTCTTTTCAACTTGAAAGTGGAGCTCCCATACATAATAGATGACCCTGAAGAAGAAATTCGCAATACAAAAAATGATTGCAATGAGAGACATAAAGCAACCTTTCAAATTTTTGTATGGCCTTTTATAAGCTTTGTCACCACCATCATTCTTGGGTAGTTTCTCATGAATTTTCACAATGTAACCTCCTTCAATTGCCTCATCAGTGATCTCCTCCTGAATTTTAGCAATATCTAAATTTTTTGGTTCACAATACTACACCTTAGAATTGTCAATTTCTGACAAATTCAAAGCAAAATTTTTGCCTCTTATTTTCACTGAGAAAAGCTCATTTCCAACTGGATCATGTATAGCACAAGTCCTGTTTTTGAAGATGATAGAATAATTCTTCTCCAATAATTGTCCAACGCTTAATAGATTTTGATTAATTTCAGGTACATACAAAACATTAGAAATAATTTTGGTACCTAAACCATAATCAATAGCAACACTACCTTTGCCTTTCACCTCAATATAATCTCCATTTCCAATTCTGACTTTGGAGATTTGCGATTTATCAAGTTTCCTAAATATAGATTCATCATATGCCATGTGATGAGTGCAACCACTGTCTATTAGCCAAGTTTCAGTATTGGAATTATTGCTTGCAAAACATGTGGCCATGAAAAGTTGCTCCTTATCTTGTTCGTCAACCATCTGAATGTGATGTTCTCTTTTTCCTTTATTTTTGCAAACTCTCTTCATATGTCCCATTTGCTTACAAAATCTACATTGAATGTCAGGTCTAAACCAACAATAGATTGAAAAATGTGAGGTTTTCTTACAGTGTGGACACGGAGGATTTCTGCCATTTTTCTTCTCATCGTTGCTATTTTTTTCTTGATCATTTCTTTCACCTTGTCGAATTTGATCCTTGTTTATTGCTTGAAAAGCACCTTCAATGACTTCTTCAGTTCTTATGGCTCGTCTTTGTTCTTGTGCCTCTAGAGCATTGATCAATTCTGGCAAGGTCATTCGAAAGAGATCTCTTGAATCTTCAAGAGAGGAAATCTTGGCTTCAAACCTTTCTGGTAAACTCACCAAGACTTTCTCCACAACTCTGCTATCTGGAAGTTGTTCTCCAATCAATCTAATTTTGTTCACAACATTTAAGAGTCTGTCAGAATACTCTTTAATGTTTTCTTTGTCTTTCATCCTAAGGAGTTCAAATTCTCTCCTAAGGTTCAAAACTTGCATCTATCTTGATCTGTCATTACCTTGAAAAGCCACTTTGAGAGCATCCCAAGTTTCTTTTGCAGTTTCACAAGTCATAATTTTTGTGAATACTGCATCGGAAACTGCTGAATGAATGCAAGTCATGGCTTTTGATCTCCTTTTGACTGCATCTCTATGGGCTCTCATCTCTGCAATAGTTGGATCTTCTGACAATTCAGGAACAGGATCTATCTCTACCACATCCCAAAGATCATTAGCATCCAAATAGGACTTCATTTTGACAGCCCAGATTTGGTAATTTTTACCAGTAAAACTTGGAGGATTGGATAAGAAGTTGTTTCCTGGCATTTCGATGTTGAGGGCTTAAGTGTGAAAAAGGAATTTTCACCAGATTCACTCACTCTCAAAGAAACAGGCCCTTAATATTTAGGCTCTTGATACCACTTTATTGGTTTTTTGGGGTATGAACTAAGAAAAAAAAAACACCTTAGTGTTGAAAAAAAAAGCTTATAAGAGACTTGTATTGAAGGTAGAAAATGAGCTTGTGTTCTACATTCATCAACTCACTATTTATAGTGATTACATAAAACAAACTAGCAAAATATCCAACTAACAATTATCCTGAAAATCTCAACAAAATATAATCTTCTACTACTAGCAAATCTTAGCTAATATATTTGTTAACAAATCAACATGATCTTTGGTTAACAAATATTCTTATTTTCTAATAACTAAATTATTTTAATATCAAACCCAATCTGATAAAATCTGTAGGAAAAGTTGGCATATCTCAACAAATAAACGCTTTTTAACCATTCAGGTTCGAGTTTTCTTTACTCTCCTTTCTTTTCTTTTCTACTAGAGTCCTCTCTTTTCCTTTTCTTCCTCTTCCTTCAATCCAAATGGTGTCTAAAGCTTATTAATATTGCTCCATGTCAACATCTCATGGGGAGTAAGACTAAAGTCTGCACAAACTAAGATGAAAGGGTTAGAATGCCCACAAGATTGATTAAAACAGCATCTTTAGACATCTTCAACTGTCCTCTTCTTCTTCTAATAATAAGAATATGATCAAATATGATAAGGAAACCTGCTGGCAATCTGGGCTGACTTCTCCTGATCATCATCATCATCATCGCCATCAGATGTTATCTCTCTCCCTTTTGATGGAGTCACTATCATGGTAATGTAATGCTACTAGTCATCTACTGTATCCATATATATATATATATATATATATATATTCTCAATGGAGTGTTTAGCCTAAAGTAATTAGAAAGCTTCCATATCTCTGTTCTTTTCTTTTTAAATGATGATTTAAAATTATTTGATTCACATTACATACCATTTTGAATGAATCGTATCCTAAATCTGCTATTCGAAATTCAAAAAGTCTAGGGGTCTTGATGCGAAAAGAAGAAGCATATTTTTACCTGTAACATGGTAATCACTGCCAATTGTAAACATAGGGAAGCAAATTAAATAACTAAGGAGGTTACTAAGGAAAAATAAATAAAGTATATTCACATTTTACAATATGGTAATCCCTAAGTAAATATATAAATCTTACAAAATAAACATAATATAGCCTACCTTCAGTTTATGGATCTTTATTTGAAAACTTGTAGTGACACAGCATCAGTGAATTTATTTTTTTTCCTCTACATTTTCGATTAAAGATCTTAATTCCTTTTAATCTGCATGTATCTATTACATATTACTGAAGGAATTTAAATCTAGGGTCACAAAAATAAGGCTCTAAATTCTCATTTGAATTTTGTGAGAATTTTATGGACAATCTAAATAACTATTTGGATATTTTCATTTGATACTAAATATTCAAGCGTTTAGCAATTTTCACCTATTTTCTGTCAAAAAAATTTCACCTATTTTTAAATTGAGTCTTGAATTTAACAGCCCAAGTTTAAAAAGTTTACAATGGATGGAGACAACAATATTTCATATGGAAACAACAATATTTCATCTTCTAAATTATATCAAAATCAAATAAAAAAAGTATATCACAGCTGTTAAGTAAATAGGAATATGCAAAACTCCTTAGAGTTTTAAATCCTGACTAAAGACATAAGTACTACGAAAGTGAATTTCAGAAGGACAATTCAAAAAAAAGAATGTGCTAATTTTTTAATACAACTATTTGTTGATTCTCTTAATTTTGGATGGATCTAACCAACAAGATATGGGATTATTTCTCCATATCTAACAAAATTTTAGATGAACTATAATACATGTTGTTTGGTATTGTTTTGGTTTTTGTTTTTTTTTGTAATTTGGCTCAATTTGTTTTTTTTCAAAGTAACTCAATAATGTTAGAGTTAAGCATATTTTGCAAATTAAAAAGGAACTCAATCCATGTAATTTTTTTGGTAAAATACCAAAAAACTCCCTATAGTTTGATAAATATTCAATTTAACTCTCTCTAATTTGGAAACTTACATTACAACTCCCTATAGTGTTGACTAAATTGAAAATTGGACAGAAAACATCCAATCTAACGGTTGTGTGTGAAATGTCAATATTGCCTCTACTATATGTAAGATGCTTTCCATTCAATTTTCAATTGAGTCGAAATCACAGGGAGTTATAATGTAATTTTTCAAATTAGAGGGAGTTAAATTGAACATTTAACAAACCATAGGGAGTTCATTTATATAGGGGCAATATTGACATTTCACGTATAACCGTTAGATTGGATGCTTTCTGTTCAATTTTCAAATTAGTTGAAATCACAAGAAGTTATAGTGTAGGTTTCCAAACGAGTTAAATTAAACATTTAGTAAATCATAAGGAGTTTTTTGGTATTTTACCCCTTTTTTTTTTACCCTTCAAATTTTACCTTTAGAATTTTGAGGTACAATGTTATTGAAAACGGACTTAATCAGCTAGTACTTGAATGAAGCTGCAGCCAAAGTGGGATACAAGACCTTGATACATTTGGTACAACTAAGAGGAGAACACCGCGACGATGCGCGGTGTAAATTTCAGGCTTGCCCAGAAACATCCTGTTATTCAAATTAAAATATTAATTATAAAAAGTAAAATCTTTGCAACATTTACTAAAAGGACATCAATTAACCCATCTTATTTTGCAATAAAAAGATGGCATTAGAGTTCAAACTATTGTTTTACCGAATGAAATAAAAAAGTAAAGTTCAAGACAGTGACAAAATATTCATCCAATCAAACAAGAAAATTTCACGAAGAAATGCCATTGAAGTTGGCAATATAAAACTACATCCTCTAATAAACCATCAAAAAGTCAGAAAATTTGATTTATTGATGTCCTTGATGTCCTTCAAGGATCATCATCATTACAAAGAACTAAAAAATAGCTATATTACCAGTGGGAATAATGTAAATTACCTAGCAACAAGCACTCCTACCAAACCTGTGTGAATTCAATTTTCGTAAATATCTCCATTTTTTTGTTTAAACAATTTTGCTAGATGGGATTCCAGTAGCTGGCTCGTGGCCCTTTGGGTATTTGACCGGTTCATTCTGTCGTCTCTCAAAGGATTGCTGCGAGAAGTGGTGGTGCTCCCGTTACTGTCTGTACGACGATGTTTACGGCTAAGTTCTGGAGGTAAAATCTGCTTTACTTCGCCTCTTATGGCTTCGAACTAAAAGCAAGATTAATGAAGAAAGTAAGTTCCTTGATTATCAAAATGTCAACGAAAGAATGAGATGAAGAAAGTTTATTACTTTCTCAGACTTGAACTTTTGTGCTAAACACACACTCACGCACACGAACTCTGACAGCTCCAACATCTTATATTCTCATTTCTCCCTCATAAAAAATATGCACATTGCAAGAGGTCAGAAATTGATCACAGCTTAAGAAAACATTTATATGTTAAGAATCAGAGTTTACAACAGAAAGATCATGTTAGAAAATGAAAGAAATTACCTCTTGAAGCAGCAGATCAACAAACATATGAACCTCTCTTGGCTCCTTGTGCTATCATAAAAGGAGAAGCTCAAAACATTAGCTAAACTTATGAAGGGTATAGATTTTGAACCATTCACTGCAAAAATTTTACAGAATTAACTAACTTTAATCCAGTTTGGTGTTGTAAACCTTGTCCGCAACAGAACTGATATCTTTTGAGTTCTTAACCTTACATACTGAAAGAAAAAAACAAAGTACTCAACGGCTACTTTTTACATCAGATTCAGAAATCTATATTTACTTCAAGCAAGGATTCCACTTCCATCTTCCATTCTCTTAGGCAAGATATGGCCTCAAAGGATCTGATTGTGTCCATAATCTAGTGAGCTAGGGTAATAGTCCTCCAAAATTCACTACACAAATGTGAAAAGTAGAGTTTTTGCATGTAGAAACTGAAGTTTTGAATGAGAACAAGAAATTTGGCTTCTTTGAAATAATAATATGAGATAGATTTTGAGTCTCGAATCTAGCGCGCTAGACTAATAGCCCTCCAAATTTCACTACACAAATGTAACAATTTTGCACATAGAAAGTGAGTTTTTGAGCAAGAACAAGTAGTGCAAAAGATGATCCAAAAATCCATACATGGTCCAAGCACTTCTCCCCAGCTACCCGGAAGGTGCGACAAATCACTGCAGCGATGAAAGCAGGGCCATACTCATAACCCCGAGCACCACTAGAAGAAAAGGAAGAAGCTATTTTCTGGCACCGTTAAAGATAGGATTTTTTTAGAAAGTTTTCAGAATCTAATGGACATTACATATTCTCTAGTAGAATGCAGAAACAAACACAATAAAAACACAGAACAGAAAGTGACCTCGGTAATTCTTGGGATAGCACCTCGCCCAATGAAAAGAGATAGTTGAGCGAACAGAAGAACAATCCCAGGAAGGACCTTTTCTCCTCGCACTCCCTACGTCAAACTTAGATCTTGGCTACCTGACTTACTTTTGCCTGAAAGAAAAAGGAATCACTCATTGAGTTTTCTGAAGAATTCTTGAAATCCTTCTTGTACCTAGTGAATAGTTAAGTCTCTCAACTTCAATGATAGTTCAAGTTTTTCATCAAGAAGCTGACGGAAATCCTGAAATATGAAATCCATGGAAAAGACTGAGAACTAATCAAGAAGAACATAACAGGTAATCTTCCATTCAACGGAATCAGTATCATGCATTGCAGAATAAAGAACGAAGCCTCCTTTGCCACCCAAAAAAGAGAAACATGTCAAGAAGTATGCAAATACGAACTTATGGGACCTGTTAAGCAACAACAATTGGTCACTGCCTACACAGTGTAGGACATCAATAGACTTCAAGATGTGGCTTTATAATATTGCAAGCATATTCATTACAATAAGCAATTCATTTAACACAAATCAACTAAGCATCAATACAAAATAAGTTTGTCTTCCTACATATGACAAAAGTTGTTCCTCGTGATGCATAAATCCCTAAACTTGTTAAACTTAATGAGTTTGAATCAATGTAATCTGGGTAGGAACACATTACCAGCATATGGCATTCATAAAATAGTGAATTGTATTTTATACAGAGAGAGTCCACATTGTAGCTTTTTTGTTTTCTCCTCATAATTGGCAATTGATGGCAGGATTTGTGGTTGTTCAAGCTAGCAGGTGAAGGTATATTTACTTAAAAAATGGAACAACAAAACCTACTCCTCACCCCTACCTACAACACACACACACAAGCACAAAGGGGGAAAACAAAAAGAAACAGAGTTTCACAATGAAGTATAGCAGCACAGGCATTCATGAAAACAACCTTGATCATTACCCGCCATCGTCGAAACAACTTAGTTATTGATGTCCTACAACACTCTGTAGGCAGTGACATCAAGAGACTTCAACCTTGTTACACAGTGTAGGGGCCAGCAGAAAATGTAGAAAATCAGAGCATAGGCATTCTAGAAGACAATCTTGTTCATTACCCCTCATCCCTGCCCCTCCTATTCCTTTTGATCCCCATATTTTAAAATTTTATTGAGAGACTTTCAAAGGAAATATGACATGCAATTTCAGAAGTCCTGGCTTTACCGAAAGCCACAAGCTACCAGCTCTTATCAGCAAGACATTCATACAGCCTTGAATCTGCTATACAAATTTTTCATACATTATTCCCAAATTTTTAAGTTGTTTTTTAACTGGCTAGGTTGACATTGCCAACCAAAATAAAGTTCCAACAAAAGGCAAACTACAAATTACCTAGGAAAACAACTTAATTTACTCTCCTTGCCACTACTGAGTTGATAAACAAAAAGAAAAGTAAATTATCAATAAGGTTGACAAATAAACAAAAACTAAAAAAACAAAAACAAGACATATCTCTAGAAAAAGGGAACAAGTAAAGCTACAAGCCAAACAGCAAATGTACAAGCAATAACATGTTTGAGTTGAATTTTGCAAAAAAAGAAATTGAGCTTTAGGTTCTGGCAATGTATGATTCTCAAAAAGAGAACTCAAAACAATAAAAACGGAGCAAGTAAAACAAGTAAAAGAAAATAACTTTGGATCTAGAGGAAATAGGATGCCGTCACAAATTTTCACCCTTCACTTTTGTAAAGACCAATAACAGGATAAAGAGAGCAGAAAGTTACAGTAAGTTACAATGAAAAAAAATCTGTTCACAAAAAAAAGGGAAATTAAAACATATCGTCAAGGCTTATTGAAGAAAAGTAGCATCCATTATCTTTTCTTCGTTCATCTAAGAAAGACTTAGAATAAGCAATGCTGGCAAGAGCAAATTTATTAGGGGGAAAAAAACGAAGAAGACAAAACCTTGGATCTACACTAAACAGATTAACATAGTCGAGACCAGCATGAACAATATTGGATTTTCTCATATTATAGTTGAAGAAAGAAACGAGTAAAAAAAAAACCATATTATCACAACCAAATAACCCAAAAAAATGAAAGGGCAAGAAACTAACTGTAATTCCTCCTTCAGTGGCCTTCCTTGTGTGTTTTTACCTGAGATAATCACACAAAAATTCCATAAGAACAAAATAATCATAGTCAAAAAAGTCACGAGAAAAATAAACATCATGTGAGATTTTTTACCTGACGGGTTCTGTAGAGATTGAGGATACCAGATAATAACATACAAGCCTTAAACTTGCACCCTGAAACAAACATGAAAAAAATCAGTCAAAATAAAGGAAAATTTTAAAACTAAAAAATGGCGAGATCAGCGGAGAGAAAATAAATCAGATAAGAAAGATCTCCAAGGTAATTATATACAAATAAAGAGAAAAATAACTGAGAGAAAATATAAACTTTTCTGCGCAGAAAGAGGGAAAAATCATAAGTTTATGAGGAAAAGGGATGGATAAAAATCAGAAACGGAAAAAGAAAAATCAAACGTGAGCAAACAAGATCGACCAAATCTTCAAGGTTCTCCTATTTCAGGATAAGAAGGAGACAAAACGGAAAAAAACAGAAAGAATAAAAATGTGGGTTTTAAGTAGAAGTGGCAAAATGGATATATGGTTGATAAATGGTTTTAGTTAAATGGATAGTGGATCAAATTGATCCAATCCAATTAAAACCATTTAATAAATGGATCTAAATGGATGTCATTTAAATGGATAGTGTAAACCATGATCCATCCATTTATCCATTTACTCTTCCAAATCCTAAATTTAAGATCCAAATATTTTTTTCTAAAAAATACAGATCCCCAAAGTTTTATCCTTAAATCACCTAAAACCTTTTGGTAATAACAAATGCTTGTACTGTTACTTTATTTCAGTTCTTCATAAAATTAGTTTAGTTCCAAGAAAATTTAACTGTCCTTTCATCATTACTTTAAGTATCATTTTGTAAAGTAATGAACAATTAAGAACTTAGCTATATTTTTATAACTTTTGAATGAATTGAATACGTCTTTACAGTGAAAAAAAGTTTACGTTTCCAATTTTTTGCACTCCTGTTCAAGAGTGATGTCTTGAATAAAAGTGGAGTTCTAATAAGAAATCTTATGTTATTTGACAAGTAAATTATTTTCATCACATGTGCACGTAGTACCTAAACATATATAAAACTCCTTATTATACCATTGATATACAAGCTACCTTATATTACTTAGTAAATTAGGTATATATATATTTTTTTGGATAGTTGGGTTGGGTGATAAAGGGAGAAGAATTGAAAGTATGAGGATTTGGAAAAAAAAAAAAAGGTGTCATTTACATATCTTAACCAATGTTGCGGGGACACTCGTTAGAAAAATTCTTTTATAATTAAAAGAATTAAAAAAATAAAAAGTATTTTGACACTGCATGATGCATTCTCGCTTTTTCTTTACTTAAGAATATAAATGTTTGCAATCATTACTATATGAGAGTTTAATTAAAAAAATCAAGAGTAGAGACTAAAATATAATTTTGAAAAGTATGGAAGAAGTCTAGGAATTAGAAGCAAATAAATTGTAATTAATGTTATTGGCAACTTGGCATGTGAGGAAGTTATGAAAGAAAGAATAGGTGGTCCCACAAAATTAATTTGACATATGAGGAAGTTATGAAGAAAAAAATAGATTGTCCCACAAGATTTTCTCACATTTTTATAAATGTGTTTTCTATTTTTTAAGTTAAATGGATGTATATGGATAAGATGGATAATCCATTTAAATCCACCAACATAATTGGATTTAAATGGTTATCCATTTAAAACCATTGAATTTATATGGATAATCCAAATCCATTTAAGGTTGGTTTATATGGATGGATTGGTGGATATGAATCCATTTTGCCACTTCTAGTTTTAAGTGTCATTTTTTTGAATAATCTTTAAAAGAGGGGAAGAGGGGAAAAATGAAGAAGAAAGAGAGAATAGAAGCTGTGTGCCGTTATTCTGTGTCTTTTCTTAGGAAATCCATGGAAGGAATGGCGGAGAGAAAGGAACCACAGAGGCAAGAGAGAAAATGGCTCGGAGAAGAAGAGATACAGTGAGTGGCGTAAATGAATTCTCAACAACCCTATCAATCCAATGAGGAGGCGAAATCTCAATTTTGTCCTCGTCTCAATTGATTGGGGGACGACCATCAATTGGCCAATCACATCGTGCCACGTCAGCAATTGGGTTCAATTGGAGGGATTGGCATTCACACATTTAGCTATATATGTTAAAGAACAGATACCATACATTTCAAGAACTGCTAGCATATAATCATTTGCGCAATCAATAGGTTGGAACAGCCATCAGATGCTTGGCCTTGCTCACTACGAGTCCAAAATCCTCAGTCATGTCCAGATCTGAAGGCAGCATTCCATTTGGAAGTTCCCAATAGAAACAATGCACCAATTGTGCCACCAGAAGACTAACCACAGTGAGCCCCAATTGCATTCCAGGGCAGCCTCTTCTGCCGGAGCCAAAGGGAAGAAATTGAAAATCATGTCCCTTGACATCTACATTGCTCCCTATGAATCTCTCTGGGATAAACTTCTCAGGATTGTCCAATTGTCCAATTGGATCTCTCCCAATTGTCCAAACATTTATAATCACTCGTGAATTTTTCTGTATATGAAAGCCATTGACAGTGCAATCTTCCATAGCAGCATGAGGAAGTTGTAGTGGTGCCACAGGATGGAGCCTTAATGCTTCCTTTACAACCATGTCAAGTAGTTCAGGCTGTCTAGATCTGATTCCTCAACCATCCTGTCTAGGCCTACGACTTTCTCCAATTCTTGCTGAGCTTTTTTCATTACTCGCGGGGTTTTCAGGAGCTCTGCAAGTGTCCACTCAACAACTGTAGCTGAAGTATCCATTGATCCACCAAGCATGTCCTGGAAGGAACATCTTTTTCCCTTCACAAAAGTAAAAATGGACTACCAACTGATAACCTAAAAATTAATTAGTTTAATGCAATCTAAGTATAAATACGGAAAAGCTGATGAA